GGTCCACCTGACAAGTTTTTCTCAGTCGTAGTTTTTTTTTGTTTCTAAAATTAGTTAATTACCGGTTAGTACTTCGGTTTAGCTATTCAGAAAACAAAACGGAAAATCACGGAAAAGATTTAAAATGGATAATTTGAGTATTGAAGAGCAATATCCAAAATGCTTCTAATCAAAGTAATGCGATGTCCATTTTGGAATTTCATCTACAAGGTGATAGCCAACAACAAGTGTATGAAGGAGGGACATAACAAATTTCATATGTTGGCCTATAAGACTTTCGAAAGAATAGCTTGGTTAATCTCCACTATTTCATCGAAATTGAATTCAATTTCTTTTATTTGTGTTAATAGTTGTATCGAAAATATATTATGTATTTTGTAAACTTTTTTCTCTTATAATATATTTGATTTGCCGAACAAAAAAAATTCTCATAGCTAAAATCTCTTTCCAAATTTTTTAATAATTTGGATAAAGATCAATTCAACATATATTTCAGATAATTTTGAAAAATCTAGAAAAATTATAGATAATTTTTAAAATTTTAATCTTTAAACTGATACTTTATTTCATGGGGCATGTACAAAAATACCACTTTTTGTGTGCACATTTGCAAAAATGCCACTTAGGGGTGTCCATTTACAAAAATGCCATTAATTATAGATTTATAAAGCCTATATCTTAAAATTCTAAATCCTAAAAAATGTTTTGACACCTAAAACCCCATAAACACTCAAAACTAAACCCTAATAGAACATAAGTAACCCAAACATAAATAATATAAAGAAAATATAATTTTGAAAAAGTGGCATTTTTGTAAAGATTTCAAAAATGTGGCATTTTTGTAAAGTGACACTTGAAAAATGGCATTTTTTGTAAAGTGGCACTTGAAAAATGGCATTTTTTTAAATTTCTCTTATTTTTTCATATATGTTCCTTTTTCATATCGTCGGAATAAAATAAACAATCCCGAAGTGATAATTATGTAAACAGCCTCGAAAATGAGATGGGAAATTCGTTACAGTACATATTGTGACGAGTTTTATGTCCCAAATGGACATGTCTACTTAGGTTGTATGGAAATTCCATTTGTTTTCGGTTTCAGAAACATTTTGGAATTACAAAATTATTATGGAAACGCTACAGAAACACGTGTCGTTAAAATTTCACTTTGGAAACGTAATGTAAGCAGTCATTGTATTTTGCAAACTCAACGAAAACTTTATTTTAACTTGGAAACATAATAAGCAATGTTTTCAAAACCGGATCAGACCGGGAGTCGGAACGGGTTAAACCGTAAACTAGATACATATCCGGATTGGGTAAACATTAAAACCCAAGCATAACTAGACTGGTTATTAAATCGGATTGAACTAGTAAAACCCGAAAACCGTTGAAACCAATTGAACCGCATTAGACCGGTTTTAGTTATAAATATAGAAATTTTCAAATATATATTAAATTATTTTTTAATCATTAGTACATTTCCAATTATTCAAACATTAAAATTATTAAAGTGTTTTGCTTGATATTTAGATCTTATTTTCGTTAACATCAATAAAAAATAAAGTATAAAACCAAATATATAATATTTTAAAATAACATCGAA